ATATATATATATATATATATATACATACATACATATAATTTATAAATTAAAAAATATATATATATATATTAAAAACAAAATGTATTATTTAAAATTTATTATTTAAGATTTTAAATATATTTTGTTATATATTTTTTTAATATACATTCACATAGAAAATATTTTGTTTCACTGAAGACCTTCTTAAGATAACAATTGCATTAACCACTTAAATATATTTACATATTTAAAATTGTGTGTGTATATATATATACTGTATATATATATGAAACATTAAACTAAATACATAAAAAAATATATTATGATTTTTTTTAATGTAGGCAGTAGTAAGTTAGATGAAATGGATGTGTAAAAGTGTAGATATAGTGAAAGAGAGGACATTTATTTCCATTAATTTTTAAAGCATAGCTGTTTGTCCGCACCATTCTGATCGTTCCTGTTTTATTACACACGCATTCCTCTCTCATCACAATCTCTTCAGACAGCAAGAGTTAGTGTGGAGCTCAGAAATAATTAACAGGAAGTATTACTCATTAAAGGATAAAGCTTCACGAACACAAAGACTCTCTCATGGTCATAGATGAAGATGCTGGATGAGCCCCGTCTGTAAATGATCCTGACGGGACGTCCCACTAAAGACACACTAACTATAGCCTCATCAGCTCTTTTCACTCATCACAGTTCAGAAATTAGGATCAGGTTTATCCCACCTCAGTTATCATTTCAATGTTGTTAGTATTAAAATACTGGTTTTTATTTTCGATGACAGTACAACCAAAAAAATTTAAAAATCTACATATTTTACAGTCATTAGAATATTTTTATCATAAAATCTGTTGTATTATTTGATATTTAACTATGATATATCAAGTCTTATTTGTGATAAAGTGGGTTTTATATGCAGAAAATAATTTATATATTAATATCATATCATATTATATTAAAAATAAAATTGAAACCATAAAAAAACATTTTCGATACTTGAAATAAAATATAAAAACACTTTCAGCTAGCCAAAAATGAATGGATAATATATACTGTATATATATATATATATAAGGCAAAAACACAACTATAATACTACAGTGTATATATATATATATATCATTTAAAAAAAAAATATAATACTGGAAACAAGCAAAAGAAACATTTATATATATTTAATTTAAAAAAATGATGGCACTTTAACAAAAAAAATCTACATATTTTACAGTCATTAATTAGAATATTTTTTATCATAAAATCTGTTGTATTATTTGATATTTAACTATGATATATCAAGTCTTATTTGTGATAAAGTGGGTTTTATATGCAGAAAATAATTTATATATTAATATCATATTATATTATATTAACCATAAAATTGAAACCATAAAATTTTTTTCGATACTTGAAATAAAATAAATGTAAAATATAAAACTAAAATAAAATATAAAAACTCTTTCAGCTAGCCAAAAATGAATGGATATATATATATATATATATATACGGCAAAAACACAACTATAATACTACAGTGTGTGTGTGTATATATATATATCATTTAAAAAATATATATAATACTGCAAACAAGCAAAAGAAACATTTATATATATTTAATGATGGCACTTTAACAAAAAAAAGTCTTGTATTTTATGTATTTTACAGTCATTAATTGGAATAAACTTGTCTTTGACCCACAATAACATCATAATGTCCTTTGTATTATTTAATAACTATGACATATCAAGTCTCATTTGTGATAAAGTGGTGCATTATATGCATAAAATCATGCTTTTCTGTAACTTCATATCTTAATTCTCACAAAAGAATAATAAGAGATGCTCTAGTAAAATGCACTGTATTCACTATTACGTAGCTGTGTTTACTGCTTGAAATCACATGATTTCTAGTATTATTCAGGCTGGGAAACAGTTCCTGTGAAGTGTGATGAGGAGGTGTTTGTGTGTAGATGTCGTGGAAGGCTCTGCGGATGGAGTTCCCGTCTCTGAACGCGGCTCAGCTCCATCACATACTGAGAGAGTACGAGCCGCGGCGCTCCTGTCCCGCAGCGTGGACGCCTTCCGGCGACGAGGACGACGCGCTCGCAACCGGTACATATTCACATGACACTTTAACAAGCCTGTAATGACATAGACAAGTGATTGTGACTGTGGAGGAGCGAACATGAACGCTAATGTTTCTGGCGTCTACAGCTGATATCCTGGAGAGCTTCGATCAGCATCCTCCTCTCATCCTCCCAGCCGACGGCTTCATACTGCAGCTGAGAAGAGCAATCAGTGAGACGCAGCTCATTACACAGCTGCACCGCTTCCAGAGATTCAGCACAGACCCAGAGGCAGCCCCACATTCCCCACAACCACCTCAGGTGCGCAGATTGATTTTTATTTTCATTAATAATATTTTATTCTGTTACACAACAAAATATTCATTTTTATTACGTTTGACCAATTAATGGCTCATTCAAAGCAGTTATTTTAGTATCACTGAGATACTATTATAGTTTTTTATTAATATTATGAATTAAGTTTTATTTTATGTTTTACCTGTTTATTTACATTTTAGTTTAGTTTAAAAGTATTAGTTCTTCTGTTGTGTGGTTTTGGAACTTTTAGTATTTTTAGTACTTTAACAAAAAAAAGTTCATCAAAGTAACACAAAGAACTTCAAAGAACACATTTTGGTTTTGGGTTTTAGGACAACTTTGATGAAAGGTTTTGATCCTCACTTCAAATGTTGACTACTGTGTATATATATATATAATTTTTTTCCCTCTAAAAATTACAAAATCACAAACAGAAGTACTAATATTTTTAAACTAAACTAAAATTTAAATAAACCTAAATCTAATTTAGTAAAACCTAAATTCAGTACTTTTAGATTTAAGTAAACAGAGAAAATATAAAATAAAATTTAATTCAAAACATTAATGTATTAATATTTAATTTCCAGTTTAGTTTTCGTACCAGAGTTATTTTAGTATTTTTGAGATACTATTATAATTTTTCGTAATATTTTAAATGATTTTTTCCTACATTTTTATTAATAAATATTTTTTCGGTTTTCATATTAATTTCAGTTAGTTATAGTAATTTTGTTGTTTTTGTCATTTTATTATTATAATTTTTTTAAAATGTCTATAGTTTTTTCTTTTATTTCAGTTTTAATTTGAGTTATTTTAGTATAATTGAGATACTTTATAGTTTTTTATTTTTATAGTTTTTGTGTTATTTTTTATTTTATGTTTTCATTAAAGTTCAAGTTTGAGTTTTTTTTGTTGTGTTTTAGTCATTTTTATTAGTTTAAATTTTTTTAGAATATATGTCGAGTTTTTATCAATTTTTAAGTTCTTTTAGTGTATGAAGGTAAACTCAATGAAAATGAAATGTTGCTTGGGCTGAAATAAAATACATTTGTTTTAATATTTTCTAATATTTGTAAATATTTTTAACATTTTCTAATTTAGTTTTTTAATTTAGAGTTGATTTAATATATTTACATTTAATTCATTTTTAGAGTAATATTTATATTTTCTTTATTATCTTTGCTGATATTACAGCTGGTCTCGGCAGTGCCGATGGAGGCCAAGCTCACTAAGATGGAGCTTCACCCCAAAGCTCATCTGGAGGTGGGTCACACAGAGATGGTGATTCCTCCCGCCGGAGCCAGTGACCTGGGCTCATGTGAAGCTCTTTTAACCAAAAAGCTTCAGAATCTTGAGCTTCAGGATAAAGATGCGGCCCGTCCGGCGCTGGACCCGTCGTGTTTACTGACCCCGCCGAACACGCCACAGAACCTGGAGCTGACGGACTCCGACACGGATTCACAGCAGCACACCTCCACAGTCAGACCGGAGGAAGGTGACGGGACGCTCTGTGCATTCTGTCTCCATCAGAGCCGTGCATGTCAGCTTTATGAACCGGAGCTGTTTAGTGACACAAGCTCGTGTGTGTGTGTGTGTTTGTAGGTGAGAGTGAGGAGAGTGAGATTAGAGAAGAAGATGTGTTTGTGCTGGAGCTGCAGAGAGCAGCGTGTGGTTTGGGTCTGATGCTGGCGGACGGAGAGGTGAGCGAATCTCTGAGATATTATGAGCTGTCAGAAATATAACGATCGGTCTGTGCAAGAAACTGAACATTATTTACAACATTATTACCTGTATTCAGGCACACGGACCAGAGTGATGTCCGGTTCACGAATGAATCATTCTTTTGAACCGGTTCTTTTTAGTGAACTAGTTGAAACAGTTCACCAAATCGGACTGAATCGTCCGAAACAGTTTGCGGCTCGAGCAGCACAGATCTCCTAGCGGTGTATCTGCTCCTGTGATGAATGAACTGATTCAGTTCGACTCGGACCGAAAACCCGACTGAGCCACTGATATGAGCATGAGTGAATGAACCCGTGAACCGTGAACGAAAGGGCCAAATGAACGTTTTATGGGTTCTCATTATTTATGTAAAAAGGTGAGCCGATGAAGATTAGTTTATTCACTTTATATAATTTAGACATGTAAAACATCCACATTTCACATCATTAGTTGGTGCTTTAATAACATGATTACGTAAACAAACTAGTGAACTGAACCAGTTAATTGAAACAAACTGTCCAAAAGAACCAGTTCACGGAAAAGAAACGTATTTCCTGGTTTGCCTGAGACTCTGAAACTTTAGTTAGTCTGTAATGTTGCTGTTTGAGCATAAAAAAAGATCTGCAAAGTTACAAAGTTCAAAGTCCACTTCAAAAGGAGATATTTTATTTAACAGAAATCACTTTTCAAAAACTACAACGAACGACTCGTTTGGACTACAATGCATATTTTCCGGGATTTGTGATATCACAAATACGAATGAGACGAGACCTGGTTGAGCTGCACTAGAGAAGGCAACGAGTGTTATCACTATGTCGGAGACATGCTAGCTTTCCCAAGGCAGACGAACTTAGAGTGGTTACAATCATCCGGGTTTAAATCGCACTCAAATTGATTTGATTTTGATGCAATATTTACCCTGAAGCTCGCAGGCGTCTATGGTAAGGGGCGTGACATTTTCCGACCAGGCGCCGAGTGCTAATCACAGCACACACTGGCCCAGCTAACCAATCACAGCACACACTGGCCCAGCTAACCAATCACAGCACACACTGGCCCAGCTAACCAATCACAGCACACACTGGCCCAGCTAACCAATCACAGCACATTTCGTATTTCAGAAGGCGGGCTTTCATTTGATACAGGAACTATTCGAGCCGTTCATGCCCGACTGGGGAGAGAGGTGTTGTAATAATGTAAAATATGTGAAAAATAATGTGTTTTTCGAACAACCTAGTATGAGAGCCAGTTCTAGTACACCCCCAAAACAAAATCAAGACTTTGTAAAAGAGCATAATAGGACCCCTTTAAAGGGATAGTTTGCCTAAAAATGAACATTTGCTGTCAATTTACTCACCCTCAGGCCATCCAAGAAGTTTGTTTTTCTTCAGTAGAACAGTAAAGAAGATTTTTAGCTGAAAGCGTGGTCTTTAGTGATTCATCAAATGCAAGTCAATGGCTACCGTCATTTTGAGAATCAAAAAGCATATACAGATGACACAAAATAACAACCCATGGCTCCTGACGATATATTAGGGTCTTATGAAGTGAAACGATCGGTCTGTGCAAGAAACTGAACATTATTTACAACATTATTACCTGTATTCAGGCACACGGACCAGAGTGATGTCCGGTTCACGAATGAATCATTCTTTTGAACCGGTTCTTTTTAGTGAACTAGTTGAAACAGTTCACCAAATCGGACTGAATCGTCCGAAACAGTTTGCGGCTCGAGCAGCACAGATCTCCTAGCGGTGTATCTGCTCCTGTGATGAATGAACTGATTCAGTTCGACTCGGACCGAAAACCCGACTGAGCCACTGATATGAGCATGAGTGAATGAACCCGTGAACCGTGAACGAAAGGGCCAAATGAACGTTTTATGGGTTCTCATTATTTATGTAAAAAGGTGAGCCGATGAAGATTAGTTTATTCACTTTATATAATTTAGACATGTAAAACATCCACATTTCACATCATTAGTTGGTGCTTTAATAACATGATTACGTAAACAAACTAGTGAACTGAACCAGTTAATTGAAACAAACTGTCCAAAAGAACCAGTTCACGGAAAAGAAACGTATTTCCTGGTTTGCCTGAGACTCTGAATACAGGTAATAATGTTGTAAATAATGTTCAGTTTCTTGCACAGACTGATCGTTTCACTTCATAAGACCACAATATATCGTCAGGAGCTACGGGTTTTCTTTTTTGTAGCCTGTATATGCTTTTTTGAACTCTTAAAGTTACGGTTGCCATTGACTTGCATTTTATGAATCACCTACGGAAGAAAAAAAGTCACCTGCATCTTGGCTGGCCTGGGAGTGAGTAATTAACAGCAAATGTTTATTTTCAATTCAATTCTGACTTCTTTTTTTCTTAGAATTGCACATTTTTATCTTGCCATTTTGAGTTTATATCTCACATTTTTTTACTTTTTCATCATAAATACAGAAGAAAGCTGGAAATATATATACAGTGGGTACGGAAAGTATTCAGACCCCCTTAAATTTTTCACTCTTTGTTATATTGCAGCCATTTGCTATATATATGATTCGTGGCAGAAATGGCCTTTCAGAGAATGTTTAAAAGCCTGTTTGAAAATTGCAATAGAAAGTTTATATGCTTGTTTATATACTTGCAATATGTGAAATTCTATAAGCAGTCAGTTTAACGTCAGTTTAGTGTGATTATTAAAAAATGAATCATGTTTTTTTTTTTAAGTTGAACTGTGTTTAACCCGACACAGCATTTTAAAAGTGCAATATAAATGCAATAACAATATACTGACTTATTAGGCCATTTATGATTGCATTCAGTCCTGTTCTCCTCTGCAAAAACTCCTTTATTTAAGTGATCTTCATTTGGGGACGTTTCCGAGCAAATATTGATATATGCAATTAATTGTGATTAATTATGTGAATTAGTTGGCATATCATGCAGTTGCTTCAATTACAGCCTTACTCTTGCAAATCATTTCCATAAAGCATGGTAACATCATCACTATTAATATTAGTTTTTTTTTTTACAGCCCAATAGCATCTCCATGTGGTTAAAAATTTAATATTTTTTTTAGATTGTATAAGAAACAAAGACGTTGTGGATATGTTTGCTGCAATACAGAATTACAAATACTTTGGAGCAATATTTCTGTGTTCTCCACAGGAAAGCCCATCGACTGTGAGTGGGATTTACATCAAATCAGTGCTTCCAGACTCTCCTGCCGCTTTATCCCAGAGGCTGAGAGCCGGCGACCGCATTCTAGCAGTGAATGGACTGAGTCTGGCGGGAGTCGACTATCAGACGTGAGGAGAATTACAGCAGAGATATAAAACGTCCTGCAGTTCCTTAAACATAAGCAGCAGGACTGACAGCTGTCTGTTGTGCATCATGCTATTTCACCAAAGCAAATGATGTTATTGATTATTGTGCATTAAGCGAACAACATTTCTTGTTCTTCTTTTACCTTGCAGTGGCCGGGATCTCATTCAGATGTCAGGAGAAAGGCCTCGGCTGCTGGTTGCCAGATCTCACAGTGCTACGAAAGAAACGAGGACAAAACCTTCTGCATAAACCTAGTGTTTAAAAACTCTGCTTTTACCCTTAGATAGAGTGTGATGGACAAAACAACATGACAAAAACAACATCTGGTTTTATATGTACAGGTTGCTTTTTGCCATTTTTAATTGTGTGATCTTTGCATTTTATGATTAAAAAATATGGAAATGATTAGAATAATTCATGTGTATGTTATGTGCTGTCAGAACGGACTGCTTTTTAATTTATTGCGTTATGTATAAAATAAATGGTTGGCTGCAGAGTTTTAGTTTGACTAACTAAAACATTTTAAATGCTATGCCATTCGTTTCTCATGATAAATTCAGAGATCGTTTTATACAGCCCTTTATTTATACATGCATAAAACAGTCCACATAGAAAACATAAAACATGCAATATATGCTGACAGCAGCACCGTTGGAAACAAAAGTTTATGTTTTTGAAAGAAGTCTCTTCTGCTCACCAAGGCTGCATTTATTTGGTCAGAAATAAAGTAAATATGTGACCCTGGACCACAAAACCAGTCATAAGAAATCATATATAAATGCGACTTAACACTGCTTTTGTGCTCCAGGGTCACATATTATGAAATATGATTACAATTTAAAATAGCTGTTTTCTCTGTGAATATATTGTGATCAAAACTGAATTTTCAGCATCATTACTCCAGTGTCACATGATCCTACAGAAATCATCCTAATATGCTGCTCAAGAAACATTTGTCAAAAAAGTCTGTGACTAAACTATACTTTGTGAATAATTTGATATATTATATAGAAGATTTTTGCAGCGAACAGCTAAGAAAACAACTGTGTGCACACTACAGCACGGGAATAAGTATCAGGAACATGACATTATTGCACAAATTGATACAAATGATTATGACATTCATTTGATTCCTTTACAACTTGACGAAAAGTTAGTTGCGAAAGAGCCCGTTTACGATTTTGTGATTGCACACGAAGGTCCAGCGCGAGAAGGAGGACTATATTTCACTTGAGTTCTCGCGGTATTACAGAATCTACACCAGGGGCAAGTTCAAGCTCAAACCGGTGCGCAACGTTTTGCTACGGTTTCCGGGTTGAACGACATGTTTCTTGTCTGGTGGGTGTGTCAAAAATGTCAGCCCAATCAGCAGCAGCTATAGTGATGGGAAGTTCGGATCATTTTACCGACTCGGACATTTGATGTTACTTCCCTAATATGTCTACTACTTATGCAAACGTTGATCACACTACAAACAATACAAAATAGAGCATAGAGAAATTAGTTAATTTGCAAGCTTCCTTACAAACGGATGCATAGTTATTATTATTATTATTTACTGTTACAGTTACGTGATGCGTTTCTGGTCTCAAACTGTAGCTTTTTACTTCTTACAGTTTATAAATGTGTGAATTTCTGTCATGATGGTTCTTTTCCATAACACTGAATGTTGTAACAAAGATAATAAAGAGCTGGTTATTATTATTAAGTCTCTTTTCCGGCTCAAGCTTATGGGGCTGTCACGTGATGAACGAACGACTCGAAACAGGTGAACTACTTGACTAATTCCAGTACAGAACCTATAGGATGTTGCGCATGCGCGACCGAACGAATCCCTCCCCGAGACGACTCGTTCTTCCCGAGTCACATTAAAGATTCGTTCAAAATGAACGAATCGTTCAAGAACGACCCATCACTAGCAGCAGCAGCATGTATTTAAACCTCGCCGGTATTAAAGAGGCAGCTCGCACAATGTAATTAACATCAAAATAAATTCACAAGAGCAAGTATATTGTTTGCACATGTTTATTTACATTAAAGGCAAAATAGCTGAAATAATAAGAGCACAAGTATAGATCTGGAACTTCTTTAAGTCTGTCTAAATATCATTTAGTAATTGCAATGTCTTCTGGTCCATATCCTTTTCCTTAGGAAGGTGTGCTAGACACTGATTAATGTAACATAAAAATATTATACATATTTATATATTTTGCTATTGCATTGTGGAGTGACACTTTTAATAAACTTTTCTATACTCCTCCGATTAGAATGGCCTTCTCAGCTGCCATAGTTGCAACTCTTGCGTCATCAGAACAGTGTTCAGCGCACCACCGTTTCCGTTTAAAACACGTTTTGCACTGTTTTGTCGGAGCTGAACGCAGCCCAGCTGTGAGTTTTAGTTCGCTGTTTAATTGTGCTGTGCTTCAGAAAATGACGGAGGCTGAGCTGTACTCGGTGTATAAAGGTGTGCACGTGCCGACGCATTTACATCCTCCAGAAAGTCTGAAATACTGTGAAGAGTTCACTTTCCGTCCAGACGACATCCTCATCATCACTTACCCCAAATCCGGTGAGTCTCGACAGGTTTGTGCATTCAGTGATGCAGATTATTGTAAAAGAATAACTCAGCAGATAGTAGCATAAACATGCAATTTGTGTAGTTCGTTAACCTTGCAGCTGTTTAACATTGGAGCCACTACATCAAAAAAACCAAAAACGCTTTACAATTAGTTGCATTAACCAGTTAACTAATGATAAACAATGCATTTGTTACAGTATCTGTAAGTCTGTTAACATTACATGCAGGTAAACAAATTAAATATTTATATTTTGAGTGTTCAAGTGTTTTGTTTTTATTTTAAAATAATTTATTTTTATTTTATTTTTTTGTGATTGAAATAATTATTAGCTTTTTATCATGTTAAAACCACTGCTGTTTGGGAAAAAGTGGGGTAATGTTTAATGCATTTCATGATGTTGACATCAAAAATATCAATGTGGTGCATTTAACGGTACGTTTAAAATAAGTTAGGTAAAACTTAATCTAAAGTCATCTAAAAAGTAGTCAGAATAGATTACCTAAAATGAGTAACCTACATTACTAACTACAGTTTTCATCATGTAATCAGTAACGGACTACAATTTGTAAGTAATCTACCCAGCAGGCCAGCACTGTAAATTAAAAATCTTTCTACTACAAAATTGTATGTTTAATTAAATGTGTTGCTTGCAGTTTCTTTGTAATTATTTGTGAAATTAACTATTTTCTTAGTGAAACTTGTTTCTACACCAACATGCAATTTAGAAATGGCTGAAATGAACGCTTAATGCTTTAGAAATATTCTTCATTAACTAATTCAGTTAACTAATATGAACAAATGGAACCGTATTTGTAAACTTTCTACACTGTAAAAAATGATTGTGATTTTAACAGTAAAAGACTGTAAAAATGCTACAGTAAAAACGTTAACAGTAAGTTGCCATACTATATTCGGTGAATAAATGTAATTACATTTAATGTAATTTTACAATAAAATACTGTTAAAAATATGGTTTTTGGAAGTGAAAAAGAAAAAGTCATTGTATAATTTACAGTGACAAACCGTAAATTGACACTCCCAGAATTCCCTGCATGAAGCATCATATTTGATGTTTTTTTTGTTGAAATAACATGTTTTTTCTTATCAGTAACACTTCAGTATGTTGGTTTATTAACATTACATCAGTTAATGAAATACGGTATTTTAATGTGAATTTAAGTCAGTAAAACCTAAAATGTTGCTACCATATTTTTTACGGTGAAGTTCTGGCAACCACAGCTTGCCGGTATTTTACCGTAAATGTCACAGATTTTTTTTACAGTGTAGATTTGAGTGTAAAAATACAATGTTATTCTGGAAGAAACTATGATTACCATCAAAGTTGACTCAATAACTGAAAGTTACTCTAACAAAACTATTGCTTGCAGAAAATGCAGTTGGGTTTTACGTTTAAGCTCAAATGAATGCAGAAAGACAATCTTTATACTCCAGAATGCTGTCTAGGTCTGTTCGCACTTCCACACTCACGTAGAAACGTGTCTGTGCATGTTATTACCTATTTAAATTAGTTCAGAGTATTATTAACTGGGCAGAAGATCATTTCATCAAGCGGGTCAGTGTCATATGAGAGTCAAAAACAACTTTAGATTTAAAAATGCATGTGCCATGTCTTAGAAATGTACTATCTGTTGGTTTTGAAACACTTTTAAGCCATATTTCTGTTTTTGAATGACAGTAATGTGAGCTGCGCTTTGCTCCACAGGCACAACATGGATGCAGGAGGTGGTTCCTCTGATCGTGAACGAGGGTGATTTGACTCCGGTGCTGACGGTGCCAAACTGGGACCGAGTGCCATGGCTGGAGGAACATCGGGCGATCCTGCTCAATCTGGAGCAGAGACCTTCTCCACGCATCTTTGCAACTCACTTCCATCACCACATGATGAGCGAGTCTTACTTCAAAACAAAGCCCAGGGTAAAAACCCACTGAATAAGTCACACACTGTGCGTTGTTTATTGTAGGATTATTGTGCGCTTCACTCTGTGCTTCAGGTTCTTTATGTCATGCGTAACCCGAAAGACGTGTTCACATCCTCATATCACTACTACGGAATGGCCTCATACCTGGTGAACCCAGGAACCCCAGACGAGTTCATGGAGAAGTTCCTCGATGGAAAAAGTATGGATTTCAGCTCTCTTTTACATTTTATTAGAGCAAACGTAAGCCGAAGTACAAAAGTGAGGCATGCAACATTATCTGTTCTCATGCATCGTTGTTACCAATCCAGATATCAGTTGGAATATGCAACTTTTAGCGAGATTACTGTACATATCACAAATGTGACCCTGGAGCACAAAACCAAGTCTTAAGTCGCTGGAGTATATTTGTAGCATTAGCCAAAAAATCATTTGGACAACTTTAAAGATGATTTTCTCAATATTTAGATTTTTTTGCACCCTCAGATTCCAGATTTTCAAATAGTTGTATCTCAGCCAAATATTGTACGATCCTAACAATAATAATATAACCATACATCAATGGAAAGCTTATTTATTCAGCTTTCAGATGATGTATAAATCTCAATTTAGAAAAATTGACCCTTATGACTGGTTTTGTGCTCCAGGGTCACAAATGTATTTGTTCTGTAATGGAATGATTTGAGCGTTTAAGCATGATGTCTTTTATCCACAGTCATGTTCGGTTCCTGGTTTGATCATGTGAAAAGCTGGATTAGTGCTGAAGAAAAGGAATCCATACTGTATATTTTCTATGAAGAGATGATCACTGTAAGCAGGACTGAACATGCAGCTTCAGTTCATTACTTTATTTGACCTACATCTGCAACAGAGTTCATAGCTTTCTATAACCTTGCAATAACAGTGAATAATGTAGGTAAACTAGCTGGACGTGCTCATGAACGAGACAGTTGTGCTTCCACCCTTTCATCCTGAAGTTTCCCTTGTACTGTATAAGAAATAAGAAAATCTGCATCCCCCATACACATGTTTTTTTTCCCTTAATTAATTTTGGTAACACTTTACTTAAAGCCTTTATGTATAATGCATTATAAAGGGTTATGATGCATTATAACTATTCATAATTTGCGTTGTAATACATTTTATCTTGTCGTAAATAATTATAACCGAATTTCAAATGCATAGTGTAACAATGAATTGATAAGTGTTATAATCTATTATTCATGAGATTGTACAATGCGTTATAAGGTGCATTACAAGGCATAATTAATGCATTAAAACTACTTTTATAATGCATTATACATAAAGGCTTTAATGCCATTTTTTATTGTTGCATTATTTTATTGTTGCACTTAGCCAAGATATTAAATCTCAATTAAGATTTATTACTTCTACAGTGCAAAATATAACATGTTATGAATTATTAACACGTTTTATTTGTTTCTTTGTCTTTCATTCTGTCGTTAGTTTCTCACCACAAATGATAGACTTTCTGTTCATCCACAAAACCAAAGCTTATAGTTCTGAGATGCAACATTTGTCTTTGACCTTGAGGAAAAAAATCTGTGTTTTTTTCCTACATTTGTATGTGTTAAGCTTTTGCATTTCATGTTGAGCTAGTGTAGTAAAATATTGAAATCCTTGCAAAGTGCTTCTTAGCTCCTAACATGTGATCATACCAATCTTTGCCAGGATCTGAAAGGATCTGTGGAGAAAATTGCCAAGTTTCTTGGTAAATCTCCGAGTCAAGATGTGACGGAGAAGATCGCTGACCACTGCGTCTTCAGGAACATGAAACAAAACAAAATGTCCAACTTTTCTCTGGTTCCAGAGGAATACATGGACCAGAAGAAATCTGAGTTCATGAGGAAAGGTAAACTAGACGATATGTGACCCTGGAGCACAAAAGCAGTCTTAAGTCGCTGGGGTATATTTGTAGCAATAGCCAACAATACATTGTATGGGTCAAAATTATAGATTTTTCTTTTATGCCAAAAATCATTAGGATATTAAGTAAAGATCATGTTCCATGAAGATATTTTGTAAATTCCCTACCGTAAATATATCAAAACTTAATTTTTGATTAGTAATATGCATTGCTAAGAACTTCATTTGGACAACTTTAAAGATGATTTTCTCAATATTTAGATTTTTTTGCACCCTCAGATTCCAGATTTTCAAATAGTTGTATCTCGGCCAAATATTGTCCTATCATAACAAACCATACATTAATAGAAAGCTTATTTATTCAGCTTTCAGATGTCGTATGCATCTTAATTTCGAAAAATTGACATTTGAGACTGGTTTTGTGGTCCAGGGTCACATATAATTATACAGTTAAAGTAAACTGAAGCTTCCATGCCTTGCACCATAATAGTATTATAAAAGTAGTCTGTATTACACGTGTGAACTGATTCACAAACATCGTATGGACTACTTTTATAACATAACATAGACCAAAATTGAAATCAGTCAACTTGAGGGTGTGAAATGAGCAAACAACTTTTACAGCATCGTTTACACTGTTGTTTCAATTGAATATCAGTTGATTGTATGCAGATGTGCCACATTCACTCAAGGTTACTCGTCTTGTTTTGCTCTGTCAGGAATTGCTGGTGACTGGAACAATCTGCTCACCAAGGCCCAAGAGCAGCGATTTAATGCTGTATACAAAGACAAGATGAAAGATGTGACATTCAAGTTTATGTGGGACTGAAAAAATAAACGTACTTGCTTTTAATAAGCACATTAGCCCTGCTATCACAGACAGGTCTATAACAGAATTTACCCGTTCTGTGTGTAATGTTTAAGTTACATGTTATTTTATATAACTGTCCCTTCATAGTTCATTTGCAAAAACCGATAACTCCATTTCGTTTTTTTTTTATTGCGTATTTCAAGTAATATCAATCAAACTGCAGTCGGGTTGTTTTGATTAAGTAATAATAGCTTAAACAAATACAGGTAATTTACAAAATTAAAGTTTTTTTTACATATTAAAAGTTTGTTTTATAGCAAAAGCGGATAACTCCACATTTCATGTTTTAGAGTTAAAAAACACTGGTTTAATCTTTGTAATCTCCTCAGATGACAGTGTAGAC